GAGCCACATCTACAGGAATCAAAGTGTTGCTGGAGAAGGGAGGGTCCAAGAACGATGTGAGCAACGGAGTTGGGAGGAAAATGAGACTGAAATCTGTTTCCGTGTTGTTTCTTTGTCCAAAACTCTGAATGTCTGAAACTTTAAAGTGGCTTAACTTTTTTTTTTGAGTTTTGAGCACACACTTCTACATTTGAAGTCTGAGAGTCACAGGTATGTCATGCTTGTGGAATCAAGGGACTTACTCATGCCTAACTATTTTATTGAATCTGTTGGTAGCTGTTTGAACAAGTAAACAATGGCTTTGAAAATAAGTGTAAATCAACAGGGAAGTTGGATGCTGTTCAGAAGGTGCAGACTGGCCTGCCTGTTGTTCAGTTAGTCAAAACAGTATTTTTTAAAATCTCTATTAGAGAAGCCTCATCAGAGATCTCAGTGGTCTTTTATTCGGTCTGAATAAAAAGCCTTTGCTTTTGCAGTATCTGTGGGACAGTAATGTTTTTGTAATTGCAGCTTTTTAGGTACTACCTCAGTGGTCTGAAAACATCCTGTGCCAGCACATCAACTTTGAGTTTGTTTCATCTATTGAATTCTGGGTTGTGGCTGTCCTCTATGAATCCACAGAAGGCTTTATTTGAGGCTCCTGATTCTTCTTTTCTTCAACTGGTGTTATCTGAACATCACTGCCTTGTTTGCTGCTTGCTAGGAGTGAATTCAGTACTAGTGGTACCTGTTCTCAGGAGAAGATTTCAGCTGTGGAAAATGCTTTCTTATGCTCCTGGTCTGTTGAAGCCTGTTTGGCTGCGTTCAAGACCAATTTCAAGATATGCTTTAACTTGGTAGTGTTATGGCTGTAATTGTGGTGCTCTGTCTTGGCAGAGTCTTGATCTAGGTTAGGAGTATGATAATTCTTGTCTGTTATGAGTAATTCTGTATTTTATATCTAAACTTATTATGGTTCTGCAATGGTATAACAACAAGAACTAATGAACACCATAAATCCCTCCATTGTTTTTGCAAGACTGTAACGGGGGGAAGGGAAGGGAAGAGGGAAGGGGCGGGGGGACGTCTCCTCTTCAGTTGAAATGACTGGAGCACTGGAAATAACGCTGTGTTTTGCATTCTGTACTTAAGAGTTATAAAGTCTTTAATACAGGGGTGTGCTCTTGCTGTGTGCTCACATGAAGCCCGGCACAACAGGTTCTTGCAATCTCTTGAGACTCTGGGCACTACCCAAATGTATGTAACAATGTTTATGTGATTTCTGAATGTAAATGTGATTGTGTTCCTTTTCAGCTGCAGAACAACCTGGCTCAAGCAAGACCCAGTTTTGAAGCAGGTGGTAGTACCCAGACTCTCTGCTTAAACAGCTTTCTTCCATTGAATTCAAACGCACAAACAAGGTATCTTCATCTTAATAGAAAAAGGCATCTGTACTGTGTTCTCTAAGTGCTTCCTGTACGTGTGTATGCTTGTTTTCTAAATATACCCTTCCTTCTTTTGGGAAGCAGATTAGAATGAGAAGGGAGTTATGTCTGGATATTGGATTTTGGCATGTTTGTGTATGGAGTGTTAGGAAGCAAGATGAAGGGTGATTTAAGACCTGGATGAAGTGAAACTTGTGGAAATCGTTCCTTTTCTTCTTCACTTGGCATTGCTTGCAAGTCTTCTTTATAAGTGCTTTTGTTCATCCTTTTGAAGATAGTTGTAGAGGCCACAACAGCAAAAGGGAAAGGCTGTAACTGTACCTCCCACAAAGGCTCTGAATAATGTTAAATGTTGCCTCAACACTGAATTACGATGATGATAAAATACAGGACTTCAGTGAGACTGCAGCTAAGACAGAAATTTGCTCTCTTTTTGCTTGCAGTATGGATTTTGCTGAGTTATATTATCTGTGAGCAATAATCCTAACCTGACTGGGATCAGAATTTGAACTCTTCCCTGTTTCTTCAGCTTTTGTCAGACTGCTAGTCGGACAGTAGTCTCTCAGAGAACAGTCCGACTCTGTTATGGTCGAGAGGGATGTAAGAAGTGCTCTTTATCTAGTCTGCTCTGAACACCAAGTAGTGTTCTACTCCCAGCTCCCTGCACTCAGCCAGAATAGATCACAACGTGGGTGGACAAGTTGGTTTGGTGGAAGCAGGGGTTCAACGCTTCAGGCCACATTGTAAGATGACCTTAAAATGACAACAGTTAAACGTTCATCTTGGACCTGACGTGTCCATGGGCTGTTTCCCTCCAGAGCTCTGAGCTTTCTGCCTGGCAGGGTGACCTTCCTCAGAACCCACAGTGTCCCTGTCACCAGAGGTAGTTCTGCAGTATGCAAAGCACCTGAGCATTGCTTGGATGGTTGAGGCACACTGTCTTTCCGTGTCATCAGAAACTCTTTGGTATATGGTCACGGAAACACAAGCATTTCTTTGAAAGCTTGAAAAACCTCTAAAGCATTTGGCTGGGCTATGGCAGGGTGACCTTCCTCAGAACCCACAGTGTCCCTGTCACCAGAGGTAGTTCTGCAGTATGCAAAGCACCTGAGCATTGCTTGGATGGTTGAGGCACACTGTCTTTCCGTGTCATCAGAAACTCTTTGGTATATGGTCACGGAAACACAAGCATTTCTTTGAAAGCTTGAAAAACCTCTAAAGCATTTGGCTGGGCTAAAGGCATTTTCTTGTCATACCAGCTGTTACTTAAGTACCGGTTCATTATAACAAAGTGAACAATGAGAATGAAGCTGTGATACCTTTAAAGGAAAAGCTGTGTTGACAGATGTGAACTACACAATGATGTGAAATAGCAGACTAGAAGAGTAATAAGAATCTAATATAGCAAACATTTCATGCCTGTCTGATAGCAAATTTGGTCGAGACTATAGGTTGAAAACAAGCTTTTCAGTAATTTGATTTCTGTATACATGACTAGTGAACTTCCTGGTTTCAAGGAAGCAGTTCTCTGTAATTTAGGAATTGAGTCAGACTAAAGGGAATTGAAATAATGTAGTGAGTTATTAAACACCAGACTGTAAATATCATAGCCAACTGGTCAAGTGCAGGAGAGGGTTGTGAAGAAATATGTTAGCTGTGCTAAGATGCAGGATTCATCTCCTGTCTTTTTGCATAATTTTTAGTCTCTGTAACAAGCTCTGAAACTGTGTAGTATTTGAAATGGAATAGAACCTGTCTAGGTATGACTTGTTGACTTGCAGAAGGTCAGGTCATTAAAATGACTTGTTTGACACCTTCTGGAAATCAAGCACCTCCTTCAAGCAGACCAGCTCAATCTCTGAGCAGCTTCGTATGTGTCATTTCGATGCCAATTCTGCATAACTTCTAATGCCGGCTGAATTGAAATTGGGGAGAGCTGGAACTTGCTGTCAAAGGCTAGCTTTCTCGTTGTGTTAAAATTCAAAACTGTATGGGTGTTTGAGTTAAAAAGAAGCTGTTGCTTCAGAAGTTGGTAATGGATGCTTTTATATTTCTGACTGTATTTAAGAACTCGAATATGTCATCCATCGTGATGATTTCTTAACACATTCTGCTTAAGACTTGAAAATGAGAATTTACTATTGTCTTGAGATTTTGAGTGATACATTTTTAAGTGTTTCAGTAAGTTGTTAAAGGGAAAGGGCTTTCAAAATAGCACTTGTCTTAAATTTTCAGACAATGTGTGAGTTCTAGGTGACACTCGTAATAGCTATTACTGACAGATACTGTCAAGAAAAATACGACGATGCAAAGAAAGTATTTCATGTATTGGTAGATTGCTGTGTAATGTTTTCTGCCTCGGAGCTTCTCCTTTATTTTAAGAGTACTTTAGAAACAATGAAAGGCAGAAAAACTGCTCTTCACAAAGGGTCTCTGTAAAAGGAGAACTGCCAGAAAACTTTGTCGTTGTTGTTTTTAGGGCTTGCTTTTCTTTAATTACCAGTGTTCTCATAATTATGCTATTTCTAGGGATTTAGTTTTTTCTGTAGTACAAGATCTTTAATTATGAATTTACTTGGAAATCCTCCTGGCTGTAAAATGTCTTAGCAGTGCTTTGCTACTGCCTTAAAGATTTTTGAGCCGTGATTTTTAACCGTTAGGGCCAACTTGGCAGGATGTGACTAGTGTTATGGAGAAGTGCTCATGTGAATATAGCGTGGAATCATTTAATCTTTCTGGAGATAGCTGTATGAAGCAGCCTCTGGCAGAGAAAGTGTATGGCAATGTTTTTATTTAGGCCTTCCATAAGAATATGCGAATGTTTTTTCTTTTTCTGCCATATTATCTTGCATCAGTGAAGAATTATCTGACTAAGATCTTGTAATATCTGCAGCTAGTAATGCAGGAAAAAATACCTAAATGCCATAAACACTGGTTGTTTTGGAGCGTAAGTTATCCACTGATCTGTGGTTTAGAAAGGCACATCACGGTTCTGTGAGAAATGTTTTTTTTTCCTGGCCTTTTGGCAGCATAATCTGACCTAGATTGCTCATTTGACCTGTTAACTCCTGTGGTTGCTTTGTTTCACTGGGTTGTTTGAAACTTCCCCACACCTTCCTCCTGTTTTGGAAGCTCATTTTCTTAAGCTGTCTTGAAAAAATCTACTTGTAAAACAGTAGAATAGCTCAAAGAATAGCACCCTTGTGAGGGCTGGAAATCCTGTCTTGCATCCGGGCATGTGTTATGTTGTGGGTAGCTCATGGTGGTTGTTGACAAGGTTATTCCCATGCTTTGCCTTACTGTGCTGTGAGAGGAGGCTTCAATATAGATGCATAGTTACTTTCTTCTGATTTTACATTTGTTTATCAAACCTCCCCAGGACTGTTAATTAGCACCCAAATTGTCTTTTTAGGTTTCCTCTGGTATTTGGGGGAGAGATGGCAGCCTGTGGAGACATGGCAGCCTGTGATGAAGACAAGCAGATAAACTTTTGGATAGCTTAAGAGCATAAACACACAAGAGCATGTTCATTTTCTCCTAAAGTAAAGTAATTGATTGTGTGTTAAAGGCACCTTTATGTTCTGGCACACAGACATGGTCAGCAGTCAGCCTCTCCCCATAGCAGACAGTGGGAAAAGAAAAAAGAAAAAAAGAACCAGAGCCACAGATCATGTCCCTGGGAAGTTTGAAGGTTGGTGACAACTTCTAAGTTTTTAATTGTAATGGTCTGTTTTCCCTCTGCTGTTCTCAGTTTTCTTAGCTAAACATTGCTTTTTGGCAAACATTATAAGTTAACATTTCTGTTTTTCTTTATCCCCCATGTTTTGGTCTTCAGTCTCTTTTTCTCCTAGTGGTGAAATCTGAGTCCTGTTCATAATCTGGTGGGGTTTTTGGGTTTGTTTGTTTTTTGGTTTTTTTAGTAAGAACAGAGCTGATGTCAAAATGTTTTGATTGAATAGATGTGAGCACAAATACTGTGAAGCATTGTAGGTAAAATATAGTTTAGTGCTACAAAGCTGACCAGTATAAAACCTCTTAGTGGGCAAGTTGCATTGTAAGGTACACTGCAAATCAAGATGGTAGCAGCCGTCCAGGTTTAAACCTTGGAGCCGTCCAGGTTTAAACCTTCAAATTTCAATTATACTGAAAACACTATCTCTGCAAGTAGATTTTGTATGGTAGGTATCATCTGATGGATTGAAATGTTTTCCACCTGAAAAAATTGGTTCTGAGTTTTACATGGAGACAGGGAAGGTGGATGATGTCCCAGCAATTGCTGAGATACAAAATTTTTCTTCTGTGAACAAACTCGTAATTTTGATGCTGGAATGAAGTCTAATTTAAATTTTCCTGGAACTTGAAGGGGGGAAGTGAAAAATGAGGCATAATTAAGGCTGGCACATCTACTTTAATACTGCATAAATCTTTTTTCTGTCTTCATTACCAAGGGAATTTTTTCAGTTGCTGTCATATGAAGGATGCTCATCAGATAAATAGCTTGTCTTGATGTTATTCACTGAAATGCTTTGGCTAATGTGTCCTTTCTGCTGGATTTCTTTGGCAGACTTGTATAAGCTGACTGCTGAGCTTCTTGGTGAGGGAGCATATGCCAAAGTTCAGGGTGCTGTCAGCCTCCAAACTGGGAAAGAATATGCGGTAAAAGTAAGTATAGAATAAAAGCAGCATCACTTCTGTCTATAACATGTCTTCTCCCTCCTAGTATCTCAGTGAAAACCTGTAATAGAGTGGGTAATAGCAAAACCTTTTAGAAAATTTTTGGTGCTTGAAATGAGCCTGCTTTATAACTGTCAAGATATCTGTCATCTTAAGTATTGTGCCTCCAGAGTGAACTGGTGTATCAGCTGCAGATAGAATTCACAAACAGTAAGTGACTCTGTGATGGTTAGCTCTCAGGGCAAGCTTTCCTCCCATGTCCTGATTTGATTGTAGTCCTACCAGTTTTTATCTCTTCTTATGAAAGAAGAGGCCGAGTCATTATCTAGCATGGCCTACCAAATAATGCAAGCTTTTGAGAATGCTGCTCCGAGTTCAGAGAGCATCAGTTGCTGCCATTAGTTCATGTAAAGCTGTCTTGTATTTTCTGATAGAGGTGAATCTTCTGTAATACCATTGTATTAAGTGTTAGGGCCCATTTACAGATTTGTGGTTATCCTGAGTCCCACGTTTAATTACAAACACACATAATAGTAATAGGAAAGCTTTATGCTTGATTCTTTTGCAAAAACTATAAGCACAAAATTTTAAGCCCCTTTAAAAATCTAGTCCTATAGATGCTATAATTTTGTGTGTACTTTGTAGAACTGTTGAAGTGGAAAGTCTGGAATAAACAAACCGCTACATTATGAATTAGACATGCTCAGATACCAAGTCCCATGTAGTACTGGTGAATGGTTGCCTGTTCTGAGAACGGGCTGAACTCTGGCTGTAAAAATGAGAAACTAGTACTGGATACAGATGGTGGTAGTATTTGCGGTAATGACATGAGCTTTCAGTTCATGTAGCAATCGTTCAGTCTCAGCCTCTGTGGAAAGCCCTTGTCCTTTTTCAAGTCTGAGGAGTATGTGAAGCACGGTGACTTCTCATGGCAGTACAGAGGTTGAATGTATATTTTCTTTAATACGTTAGGTCCTATTACTGGGTCTCCATGAAGTTTGCACTATGAAGCAAACTCTCATTTTATGGTGAATTTAGTACTTTTTACTTAAATGCCTATAATGACAAATCTCTTCTTTTTGACTGTTCAATGTCTGATGTGACTCAAATCTATTTTTGTTAGAACTCAGAAGGATATCCTTTTCTGCACATTGCAGAGTTAAAATGATGCAAGAAAAAGCTTGTGGTCAGTGACTGTGTAATGTGGATTTAGTTCCTTTCTTGACTTCCTGTCCTGATTTCTTGTGTCCTTTGAATGCCTTCCAGAGCTCTGCTGACACTGAAAATAAATGACAGATGAGAAGTTAAACAAACAAACAAAGGTGGAGTGTTTCTCTCTGGTGGACGTGCCTAAGATTCAAGCTTTAGATTAGTTATCTGATTCCAGAGCTACATGCACAGTTCCTGCCATAATTTTTCAAATATGAGCTCTAACTCTTTCCACAGATCATTGAAAAAAATGCTGGGCATAGTCGGAGTCGGGTTTTTCGTGAAATAGAAACGCTGTACCAATGTCAGGGTAACAAGTAAGTATAAAGTCTTGTGTTTGTTTATTTATTTAAAGTATGTTGAATGCTTTTTTTCCAGATTTTTAAGCCTCTTATATGTGACTAGGTTAGGAGCTTTGCAGTATTCTCCTTAAAACCAATTGAAATTTAGACTTGACCCATTCAAAATAAGAATTTCCTGTTCTCTTACCTGTGGAATTTAGGGAAATACTTACAAATTAAGTCACATAACTCAATTAGCAACCAGGTCAGTGCAGTCTGAATGTGCTTCAGTGATGCATGGCTTTTGTCCGAATGAGGAATTGACGTTTTGATACTCTCCCTGTGATTTCACCATCAGCAAAAACTGACCTGATACCAGCTGCTGTTGAGAGGAACAGTCTGGCCGTTCCTTTCCTTAATGTGTGGTTTGTCCTCCTCTTTGTGTCAGCCTTCCTGCTTTTGCACTGGAACTCTTAGATCAGCCAAAAGCTAATTTAGTTTTCATTTGAATGTGTCCTGACTTCACATAGCCACAGGATGAAACAACTTAAAGCTGCTATTCCTGTCTGAAAAGGAGGGAAAGCCCATGCAGCCAATGGCAGCATGCTCTATGATTAGTTTAAGGCAATTCTGAAACTACTCCTTTAGATATCTCTCTTGATCTAGAATGTATATAACAGCTGTTACCTGTACTACAGTTGTGCAGCTTATATTGAGCCTTTTTTCCCAAATTCTTAGTACAACACTTAAAGAGAATTTAAAAACAAACTTGTTTATGAAACTCATGGGCTTAAGTTGTGCTATAGAGAAGCAGATTATACTTTTCTTCTGTATGTGGTTAAAAGCATATGGTGATCCAGTACATAACTGATGAAGAACTCAAGCTCTCATGACCACATGCAGAATTGGGATTTTGTGTGTACTGTAAGTATAGAAAAATCTGACTTACATGTTTGACATTCTCAAGGTAACATAGGGTGTTTGTGTTGTGCTGCAAAGACTGTACACTAGCTAAACAGGAGTGAGTCTAAAAATGGTCACTAAAGTGCTGGATTTAATGTCACGTTGACAGATGTCTGTCTCCTTCAAGCCCTGTGTGTTCTGCCTTGTGATTTCCAGAGAGAAAGAATGCCAATTTAATTATTTTTTTTGGTTTTGCCTTCAGCACAAATGCAGTGTTCTAAATTATTAAATACAACCTATTACTAGCTATCTTCTTGTCAGTTGAGCACTAGCAGAACTCTTTCACAATCCTGATTTTGGTGTTTGGCCTGTTTCCCCTGCTTAAATTTCAGTGTGAATTGGAAATGTAGTTTAAATGCCATAGGCAACCAAAGCAACTTGTTTAATTAGAACTTTTATTTTTTGTTACTTCTGGCACTTCCTAATTATCCATGCTAAAACTCTTCATTGCTCTGTTTATACTCTGTGCCTGTTTCTTCTATTTCCCCTCCTTTTTTTTTTTTTAAAGGAACATTTTGGAGCTAATCGAATTTTTTGAAGATGACACAAAATACTACCTTGTCTTTGAGAAGCTGCGAGGAGGTACTGTGTAGTAACTGTGCCTTTGTTCATTGAATCATCTTGGCCGTGTTTGTCTCTGTTTTAAAGCAGTAAATGAAGAGGTTATTTTAAATGCTTGAGAATTTTAAGACAAGAAGTAGAGAAAATAATATACAAAGCTTGAAGTATGGTTATTCTTGAATATTGATGGCGCTGGTCATACATTTGCAATCCTTTTCTGTAGTTAAGCGATGGAAGTGTCAGCTCTATTAAAGTGGAAGCTTTGGAATATAGTTAGTAGGTCACAATACCTTCAAGCAAGGGGGACACACAGTATGTCAGGTATTATGCATGATCTTAGTACAGCATCTATATACTCTGGTAGCATTTTCCCCTAATGTAGGATTGACTTTGTTTCCTGAAACTCATGGAGCACTGTTGTGCAAAACATCTTTCTTCTGCCTCAGGTTGCTGTAATTGTGAAGCGGTCTGCTTATGGCTGTTTGAGGGCCAATCAAGTGAGCATGTGTGGTCAATGGTCTCCAGCATTTAACACTTACCTGGGGAATGAGAAGGCTACATCAAGCACTTTGTGGACTTTCTCACATTTGTCTGCAGTGAGCATAATTACAGTATCCGTTAATTGTATGGCTGTGCACAGCCATGAGTTAAAAGTGTGGCCCACCCTTCAAAGACAAACTGGGTTTCTGAAGGGGTATACTTCTGTCCATAGAACATCATCTATTGTCACTGATCAAGAAGGTTTTCAGTAGCAAACTATATGTGCAAGAAATGCAAATTCTTTCAGTATAGATGCAGAACTTTTTAGAAAGAGGACACTTTTTTCCTTGAGTAAAAGCTTTTGTTTACCTTCCCTTAAAATTACTGCATCATTTCATTGTCACTTCCTCTAATACTGTTCTTAATGCACAGACTTCTCTGACAAATTAGCTATTATAGGACTTGATTGGGATGAATCTGCATTTTTTTTCTTTTCCCATCTCCACATCCTTTCCATTCCACATCCTCTTCTTTGACTGTGAGACTATGGTTGTCAGTGTACCTGCACGGCTGCTGAGAGGATAGTAATGCTACACCTTCTTCCCTCTCTTAGCTACTGTTTTTACAGTGGTCAACTAGGGCTGAGGCTAGTTTTCTCGCTGAAAAATTTCAGCATTTGAAGTGTTAGATATGTGGGTTTAAACGATTATCAAAGAAATAATGGGAATTAGGGGTCAGACCAGCTTCTGATGCACTACAGATTCTGTTATAAGCAGCGTGGCAAGAATGAGAACATTAATCTTCAATGCAAGCCTTACTTTAGTAACTCCAGTCTCAGAGACTGATGTTACCTACAATGTTGGGGCATAACTTGGGCTTTCCATTTTCAGCTTTGCCTTCCTGTAGCTGTGGTAGCTGAAGGAGCTCTGCTCCCATTTTAGCCGTGTTCAGTTCACCATGATATACAGAAGCTGTTTAATATCCTTGCCTGACAGCATTTTATAATTGAAAGCATTAAAATCCAGCTTATTATACTGAACGTGCATGATTTAAGAGTCCTTTCCTCTTCCCCCCCCCCTCCCCCCTGAAATGCATTTTGGGAGGTGCTATATGATGCTTTTTCTCTGATGAATACCAAAGAGGTGGTAACAACTGTGGCAGGAGTGCCCTGCTATTCTTTCTGTTTGTGGGATTCCTCTACGTGGGCTGAATATAAAGTCTGTAGAGTATGTTTTCATTGATACTGATATAATTCTTATCTGAGAGAGTTTGGAACATCAGCTCTGTTCCAAAGGGTAATCTGAAATAAACCTGCTGAGTGAAATGAGCACTTCATGTGGCTCAGTATTGTTTCCTGCAAAGTCTGGGGTCTTTTCCACAGGAATAGAAACATGCAAGAACTGTTATTACTTTCTAAAGGTGTAAAGAACGACTATACCAGGAAAACCTTTTGAACTCTGTGCCCTTAAGAAATCTGTAGCAAGCTAGAAAGTGGTGTTTTTGGCAAGGGAAACCTGTATTTGAAATCTGATAACCTGGTCCAAAGTGGCCTTCCTGCACCTATCTGACATAGCATATCCATGCATATCTGAAGAGTCTTTTGTCATGTCAAAACATATCTGAAGAGTCTTGCGTCCATCTCCTTTTTGAGTGTTTTCCTGTTTCCTTTCTGAATACTTGCTGTGGAGGACTGGCAGCAGCACTAATGGTATAAGAATAGGAATTAGCGCAATAGAGAATGGGAGGTTTCCTTCCACATCTAGAACTGAAGAATAAAAATGAAATCACCTGAGATATAAAATGTTTATTGTATTTGGAGCTAATAACAAATGGCAGTTACTTCTTGAATTTCTCTGCCTGCTTGCTTTTATAAATATACTTCTCTGAGTAAAAAAATGGAAGACAGTAGTAAGGCTATTTAGTGGGCTTGGATCTCTGTGGACTACATTTTTTTGGTTTTTTAAAGACATTTTTAATCTCTTGAGAAGATTGATGGAATTCACTTAAAGAAGATAAGGAATCAAACCTCCCTTTATCCTTTGTTAAAGGGATACCAGTGGAGCTCTGCCTGCAAGCTACCAGTCCTTCAGTATGTTCACATTTGAGAGATCTTTTGTCAGATTTCATGTCCCTGGACAAATTTTACCTTAAGTCAATATATGAGCCTTACCTTGATGTCAGTGGGAATTTTAATGTGTTTTTAAAGGTAGAATGTCTTTTTATTTGGATGGTGTTGAGACAAAAAAAGGTATATACTTGACTTTCAGTGCAGGGTTTCAGTAGTCACATTACACAAAATGAGGAGAGTTAGTTTGAGCATGGCCACCTGTGACCTGGGGGAGGGTGGGTTTTGCTGAAGTGCTTTGTACATCCTTAGCTGATGTTTGAGTTTTACGAGTACTACTAGCAAGTCTTTACTGTTCAGTGTGTGGAAAACAGACCAATCATGTGCTGGGACAGTAAAAAGTGATTGCTTCTCGTGCTGTGCTTAAACTAGAGGGCTGCAGTGTTTGAAAATTATGTTCTAGGATGCTTAAGTATTGAAGCTGCTCAGTTGTACCTTTTTCTTAGTCATTCCCCTGTTCAGTCCACAGAAGTTGCCTGCTGTGAAAGGTTGTTATAAAATATGAGAAATTAGGTTATGGATTCATGATACTTGGTACTAGTTCATCATTATTTTCTGAGGCTATTTTCATATAAAAACATGGGATTATGACACTTCAATTTCTGCCATGTAAACATACTAGGACAGAGTGTTAGTTGCAAATAACTTTTCTAAATTACTTCTGGCCCTGTTCACACTGAGATCAGTTCTCCCTTTATGGCAGTCTGGTAGTGGCTATTGTGTTTTTATCCTTATATTGACAAAGCCTTTTCTCAGCCTAGGCAGCATTCATACTAATGTTTTCCCTTTCACCTTTTACTCTTTGTTCTGGTTTCAGCTGGGATAGAGTTAATTTTCTTCCTAGTAGCTGGTATAGTACTGTCTTTTAGATTTAAGATGAGAATAATGTTGATAACACCCTGATGTTTTAGTTGTTGCTGAGCAGTGCTTACACTAAGTCAAGGCCTTCTCCGCTTCTCAAACTGCCCTGCCAGCGAGGAGGCTGGAGGTGCACAAGAAGCTGGGAAGGGACACAGCTGGGACAGCTGACCCAAACTGGCCAAAGGCATATTCCATACCATATGATGTCATGCTGAAAAAACTGGGGGGGTGTTGGCTGGGGGGATGCAGCTGCTGCTTGGGAACTGTCTGGGTATCAGTCGGTGGGTGGTGAGCAATTGCATTGTGCATCACTTGTTTTGTATATTCTTTTATCATTATTATTTTCCCTTCCTTTTCCATCCTATTAAATTGTCTTTATCTCAACCCACGAGTTTTACCTTTTTCCCGATTATCTCCCCCATCCCACTCGGGGGGAATGAGCGAACAGCTGTGTGGTGTTTAGCTGCCCGCCAGGTTAAACCACAACACTCTTACAGGTTCAATCCTGGCCCATATACAAAAGCGAAAGCATTTCAATGAACGAGAAGCTAGCAAAGTGGTGAGAGATATTGCCTCTGCTCTGGATTTTCTTCATACAAAAGGTAAGAGAAGGCTGTCTACATCTTTACTAGTTGACATTGTACACTTAAGATAAAATGTGTTCCATAACTTAAGTAGTCGGCCTTTGCTAGTATTTCTATTTACAGCAATGCCAGATGACTTAGGCTGTTTTTCTCTATAATATTAGTTTCATAATGTGGTAGTTTAAGTAATCAGCTGTGTTAAGATGGTATAGACTTTTGAAGAAGAAAAGTTAAATCGACATCCAGGGAGAATTAACATTAGGGTTGAATCTCTTTGCTTGTTCTTGTTACCTAAGCCACCATATAAAGGTTACTCAAAAGGGAGCTAATACTCTTTTTAATTTCCTCCTTTTTCAGATCTACAGAGATGTTTTTCTGTATTTACCCAGAATTTCTGCTGGTTACAAGACCTCTTTGTTCGTAGTAGCTTTTGGTCTCCACATTTAGACCTCCACTGTTGGGTTGAGGGACCTACAAGTGAACCATAGTCCTTGTTTAAAGGTGTCCTCATTTCACTAGGGATTTGCTCAGATTTAAAAACAGAACTGTTTGTAGAGAGTTCTTTTCGTTTAAAATGTTTTCCTGCTGCTTTTTCTACTTGGGAGTACTTTTGTTTCATTTCAAAATATCTGTGTGTATTATGGTCATCCCAGAGTATATGTTCATGTTGAACGCGATAGATACCTTTAAAATCTTTCCTATGTCATGATTATCTGGTCTTGCATAGATTAAGCAGCTTCAGTTAATGTTACAGAGATTACCTCTGAATAGAATGGATGTAATTGGCGGCTATGTTTATTGGTTATTTATTTTGATAAATTTTTCCTCTCCATTTATCTTGCCATTCTGATTAGCCAGGTAGATCTCAGCAGATCTGCGTTTGCTGTCTTAAGTTGTTAAGTACTGGCTCCGGTTCAATAAATGTTTAATTGTAGGCTTTACGTGTAAGTCACAGGACTGCTTATATGCTTGAGTTGGAATCACAGTATTGGTACATGGATAGGTTGAACCCCTTAAAAAGAAAAGTGTAGCAATGCATAGTGAATAAAGGAAGTGGTAAACCTGAGGAATTACGGATCTTATCAGATGTTGTGACTATGTTATGAGAAGTTAATTTGAATGTGGAAACAAACTTAGTTTGCATTAAGATTTTTGGTAATCTTCATAGCCTGTCTATGCGATAACTCAACTTTAAACCTGCAGAGAATGTACTCGTTGCATACCTGTGTTTAGAAGATTTTGACTTTGAGATATGGGGCAGATAAGGAACAGGACACTTAGGCTGAATATGTGGAGAAATACTTATTTGATGTGTTAGGGCTATAGTAGGTTGCTTAACAGCTGAAAGTCTAGGAATGCTGTTCAAGGAAGTTTAACATCGACTCAGCTAATATCTTTTTGTAGTTCTTTCTTAGCTTTTAGTTTTAATTCCCCTTTCCCCAAACAAGAGGGGAGTGATTCATTAAAATGGCTTGAGAGCAGCAATCCACTTTCTTTCTTGTCGTTTGCTGTGAATTGGTACAGTGGGGACATGGCTTGCAGAATCGGCTACAATATCCCTTTTCATTTTATTGTTCTCTTTACGGTTCTTCTGTGTGACATTAAAATAATTAGTAACTAGCATACAGAACATTAAAGTAAACAGGAAATTAAAGCAGTTTTATTGCACAGCTTAATGTGAAGTGCTATAGCTAGATGCTTTAAAAAAAAAAAAAAATTGAATGAAGACAACTAATTCTTTTGCCAAGAGTAGTTTAAAACTCAGCTGGATGATAATACTGCCTTACACCCACTTGGGATATGTTTGCTTTATTGCTAATAATCCGCTGGAGGAGTGTTTAAAGACAGTTGTTTTCTTTTCTCAGTGCTGTGTGCAACTGCAAAATAAAATGTTACATAATCAGACATTTGAATTCAAACTATAACACAAAAAAGTGCTGTTGGGTTTCACATTGCAAGCCAAGCCAACTGTTGGGAGTTTTGTCAGCCTTGCTGTAAATGTCAGCACGGGCCATCTTCACTTGTCATGTTTCCCATCTTCTGTGCATAAGCAATGTGAGCTGCATCATTGTGAATGCTCTTATTCCTTTAGATCAGTGCTATGCTATGCTATTAATGTTATGTTTTAAGTTATGTCTTGTGGAGTGTGCTGAAGAAAAGACATTAGAAACTCCCTTACCTAGAATTTGGTAGGATATCTCTTTTCTCATACTCTGAAGTAGTATCAAGTGTGCTTGGAATGTAATTTTTTTAAGCAAAGCTGAAGTGCAGTTAAAACCAAGCTGCTCACTTGATTTGATTTTTGGTTCTCATTTTCTGCCTTCCCATTAAGTTTGATTATACTAAATGGAGAACTTCCAGAAATTGTGTGTTGGGGCATTTGAAGAACTGCTTTGACAACATAGAACCATCTTTGCATGTGAATTCAACAGGTAGATAACTTTGCGTTTCCCTGTTGGGTTTGCCTATGCTGATAGCAGTTGAATGAATGTAGAAGCCCTTTGGTTGTTCTCCTTTAGCCTTTACTTCTGCATCTCCAGCAAAACTCTTTAATTTTTACTTTACTTCAGGAATAAGTAAGTACCTCACCGTTAAAGGGAGGATATTTTCACCTGGGAACTCAGGGGTTTTTTTGGGCGAGAGCGTCTCAGGTATTGTCTGTGCTGGTAGGAGTTCAGCAAACCACCAATTGATCCCTGTGGAAAAAAGGACCTCACTGTAGAAGGCACAAAAATCTTTTGACTAAACTGTGTACACAAATAAACTTTCCTACAGGTCAGTCATCTTAATAAGCTGGGTTTAATTAACATAATTAATTTGGGCTAAGCAAAAAAGTTCCAGTGTTAGCAGGTTCATATTTGCTTGACTGACTCTCATGTACATTTAAGGATGATAAAGGCATAGCAGAATGCAACAGTGACTTTTAACAAACAGACTTTGAAATTAAATTATTTGCAGTATCATTAAGGGGGGGGTTGTGTAGCAAACTCAGGCCTAGAATTTTCTTAGGCTACCTTCTAATAAAGAGAGGTAATGAGAAATAAACAGGAGAGTATCTTCTCTAATGAACGTTTGTACTCTTGTTCAGGTATTGCTCACAGGGACCTGAAGCCTGAAAACATCCTGTGTGAATCTCCAGAAAAGGTGCTACTCTGGTCTCTTAACCTTCTGAAGTGTGTTTTTTTAACTTGGTTTCCAAAGACAGCCCTCACATTCTGTGTTTCTCTTCTTGAAGGCTTTTGAACCCATTAGTGATCTTCAACTAAATTTAATAGAACTGAAGCCCGAAAGAGACTAAATTCCTCTGAGCTGTAAAAATGTGAGCATCTGGCTAGGAGATAAAAAGCCAACTGTTCTTAGAGAGGGCATGGCAGTTACAACTTAGCATCTCATCTGTTCTGAGACAGTACCCAGATGGACAAGCAACATTTACAGGCCAGCTGGTCACGTTGCGTATAGGTCCCAAACTGCCCCAGTGTGTACTGGCACTTGCCTAGCCAAATAAAAAAAATAATGTAATAGGGTCAGATGCTGGGGATGTGGGAGAACTGGGACAGAGGAGGCAAATGCAAGGTGTGGAATATACCTGTAAGAGGCTGGGTTTCACTAGTCGTCCTGCTAGAACAACTTGGTTTTGTCCTGGGGTTTTCCACGTGGCGCTGTGTTCATATATATTGCATTAGTCCTAGTCTTCTGGACCTCTTACTGTTTTGTCCTTGTTTTCAGGTATCGCCAGTAAAAATATGTGACTTTGATCTTGGTAGTGGGGTGAAGCTGAACAGTGCGTGTACTCCAATAACTACTCCCGAATTAACAACGCCGGTAAGAGGCCTACTGTGGCTTCATGCTTTTTCTCTTCTACCATAAAACAATTTTTCTTACCTCCAGGGGAGAGCTTCCAAAGGGCTTCCTGTAACTGCACCCAGTGGTGGATAGTTCATTTAAAGCGGGTGTATGTGTGGTAAATACTGTCTTGGTTTCCCAGTCATAGAACAAATATACAAAAGCACAGGAGCTCATCGTGTTAATTCTCCTGTTGGCCAGAAAGTAACACATTGATCCTGTTTGTCTCTTACCCCATCAAATGAGGAAGCGTTTCGTGGAGGTTTTTTGTGTGCTTATGGACTGAGTTTGAACCTTTAGGTTTGTATTCATTTCCCCATATTTGGGTTCTGTAGCTAAGACCCATGAGCTCAGGGCAATGCAAGTTCTGTAATCAGTGCGTGGCTTTATAATACACATCAGTTTGAAAAACTACAGTGCTATGCTTTTGGCATTACCGTGAAAGAAAAATCTGCCAGTTTTGCAGGAGTCTATATAGAAATCGCCTCCCATGATATACTACTTTACTTTTTGAAAAGCCTGATAACTAGTGGATAAGATTTAAAAACCTGAAATATGTAAATTGATATTTTGACCCTGTATAAAGGATCATGGATTCATATGGAACAGCTTATGATTCTGCTAAAGAACAGTAGGAACTCTTTTGCCTTCTATTAGATCTCTGTAGTCCTTACACCTGAAATGTGTCAGTTTTTTCCTGTGCCGTATGCTCACAACGTGTTTCAAAGCTCTTGGCAATTCCATTTAACCTTTGAGAGATGCAGCAGTTGTGATTTGGCTTAACAAAATGAGACCTGCAGTGAAAGCAGTAGACTTCAGTAGTCCCTGATGCCCGATTCTGCTTTTAGACCAAGCTGCCTACTGTAAAGAGAGAAGAATGGTAAAAAACTTGAGTTATGTTTTAATTTGATCCTCCCTTTGAAAACTTGCTTGAATTCGGTTTCCTAGTGTGGGTCTGCAGAATACATGGCACCCGAAGTGGTTGAAGTCTTCACGGAGGAGGCCACATTCTATGATAAGCGGTGTGATCTTTGGAGCCTGGGAGTGATTCTGTACATCATGCTCAGTGGTTACCCCCCATTTGTGGGCAACTGCGGCACAGACTGTGGCTGGGACAGAGGAGAAGTCTGCAGAGTTTGCCAGGTGAATGTGCATATCCTGGGCATATGTGGGAGAGTGTACTTTGCCCCATGAGCTTAGGGTGTAAGACTTGTCATAATGCCAGCAGTGAAGAGCTGTGTCTGTAACCCAACTAGTCGTCTAGGAGGATAAGCTCTCACTGAGAAGTGAGGGTGGTAATGTAAAAGTTGAGTGATGATATCCCTTTCTAAAGTAAGATTTGGCAACTGCCTCTTTCTCCTCCTGATGTGAGATCTCAGAGCTTCTCCACGTCCTTTGCTCCACCTCCCAATCCTGTATTCTGTAATTCTTGATCTGGTTTATGGTAGTCGCTACAATTCCTCAGATAAAAGTTGAGCCCCAGGAGAGTCTCCATGCAGGGCCTGAATTTATTCTTTCTAAAAACTGAATACGTGGGCTGCATTGTTACTGGGGGGAGAAAGAGCGGTGTTGTCAGCGATGTAACGTGTCCATTGTAGGATGCACTGATTCACTCTGTGGAACTGCCTGTCACTCTCCATTGACTCCATAAGGAGTTTCAGTTGTCACCCACCACATTAGGTGGATAAAATTGAGTGAGAAGAATCCCACCTGAGAAGACTTCTCGTTGCACTCTAATTGCTCTTTAAATTAAAGAAATTTTCCTTTACTAGAACAAGCTTTTTGAGAGCATTCAGGAAGGCAAGTATGAATTTCCTGATAAGGACTGGTCACATATATCCTCTGAGGCCAAAGATCTCATCTCAAAGTTGCTGGTTCGTGATGCCAAAGAACGACTCAGTGCTGCTCAAGTTTTGCAGCATTCATGGGTTCAAGGAGTATGTATCCCCCTTTATATTTTTTTTTAAGGGTTATTCTTCTTCGAAAGTGATAAACAAGCTGTTCCTTGTCTCTAAACTTTTAATAGAGACATTGCATGTTTTAATGCTCTTATCTTGATTAATTAAACGATATACAGTGGCTTTATTTGTTCTAGAGCTCTGTGTGGTAAATATTTAGATGAATCTGTCAAGCTTTAAGTGTTTGGGGTTTTTTTTAATTATTGCTTTATGCATTTTAAATGGCTTTCTTGTGAATACTAGGCACTGCAGTACGTGAATTATTATGTTACTCTTTAATACAGTAATGCAGAATGCTGGTAGATATGGTTTTGAAAGAATAGCAGTGTCCTCTTTTACTTTAGTTCCCAGTTCAGGAAAGAAGGGATAGACCCTCTGGAGAGCTTCCAAAGCTTTAGTCTTATACCTGCAAACTGTGGTATCTTCTTGTGAGGGGAGACGGATTATGAAACGTAATTTGTAAACCAACAGTGACTTGTAAAACCCACAGTGAATTAGTTTATATGCAGTATCGATTAGTTGTAAAGATTTGGGGGGTTGCTTGTTTTTTATCACTCTGTCTTGGGAAAGCTTGGTTCCTAGCTGCTAATACGTAACTAACTTTTCTTAACTGCTTCTTCTAGCAGGCTCCTGAAAGGGGATTACCTACCCCTCAAGTTCTTCAAAGGTAATATTTTTTTTTTGTTAAATGTCTGTAAACTTGGCCAAGAATCATTACTGAAAGAATGGGGAGAGATAAGAGATCACAAATCGGGGGGTAAGATCCCTGGTTGAGAGTGGAACTTAATAAACGTGCAGCACTAATTTTGTTAAGAACATCAGAAATATAAAGCTCTGATTTTTCTTTATGATCTAATCTTGCTTGTTTGTGGGAAAGGCATTGGAAAGGATTCCTGCAGTGCAGTGCTAATCTTAGACAGGAAATAATGATGGTTCTGGCAGTTTGCTGCACAGGAGGGGAAAAAAGGCATAAAGGCGTGTGTTATCCAGAGAGACTACATTCTGATGGGTGAATAATCATCATATACACAGTCTCGGATCTGACTCCCATTGTAGTTGGTGGTAATCACAGTATTAATTTAACTGTGAGCAGGGCAAGCCTCATTTAAAGTGATTTGATGGCAGATTCTGTATGCCAGAGAACCTGCGTCACACATCTCTGTTCCTATTTCCATGTCTGCCACTGGTGATTCCAGGTGGTTGTTCCCATGAGAAATTCATTTCCTTAAGCCAGATGTGCAATTACAGTGGGATAGCAGTTCTCTGAAGAAAGCCCCATGTGCCCATTCTTTTTTAACATGTAGAAATTAAGCATGGCATCTCGGGTGGTTTCCTGTGTTTACATCGGAAGTCCTTGGCAGAACGAAGACTAGAATTGTGGCTGTTTCCAAAATCCAAGAGTGGTTTTGTTATGTATTGCTGGTCCTCACAATGAGGAGAGATGCAAATATTAACTGGTCATTTTGCCTGCTATGTCGATATTTTGATAGGGGAAGTAAAAATGCCTGGAAATCGATATTCTGCTGTGAGGGTAACCAGGTGAAGTGACTCTGTGTGTGTGTTGTAACTGCTTTCTCCTTTTCCCTTGAAAGGAACAGTAGCACAAAAGACCTGACACTTTTTGCTGCTGAGGCTATAGCCCTTAACCGCCAGTTGTCTCAGCACGAGAACGAACTCAGCGCAGAGCAGGAGAACGTTGCCCATGCTGTGTGCTCCATGAAGCTTTCTCCTCCGTCCAAGTCTCGCCTCGCCAAGCGCAGAGCAATGACACACGCCACCAAAAACAGTGACTTTCAGCCAGTTCCCCATAAAGCCTTTTAAACTTCTTTCCTGCTATGGATTGGCAAGATCAGCCTGTGATCTTACTTGGATTTTCAGCGCTGATAAAAGCTTCTCTGCTTCTGACACTTTGATTAGAAGCTTGCTCTTGTGATGTGACTTGTAACTTTAACGGGACAGCTTTTTATGGGAATGTTTTTTGCCTGTCAGATTTGGTGCATTAAGATAATTTAACTGATTTTTTTAAACTGGAGAAGATGGGTTTGCTGCTATATTATCTGAGGTGTTAAATCACTAAGCTTTCCTTATTTTCTTCTTAGAAGAGCATGCTTTAAAATGCAAACTTGAAAACATGAGAAAAAAACACTTTCTTGCTTTGCCCAGCAGAGCATCAAGTCTCTCCCTGCCTATGGCTGATCTTGATGGCACATCTTGCAAGGTGCTGCTGCTAGTGTCAGCAGCAGGGACTGTTTTCAACCAGCAGTGCCCTTCTCTCTTTCTGTAGACTCAGGAAACGAAGATGATGACTGGGTGGATCTCTGTCTCCATTACCTTCACTCGGCTTAAATTGTATGAGGATGATACTGTAAAGGTGCAAGGATCGCTCAGGATTGTAGAGATGAAGAGCACAGGGTTGCTTTTTTATCCTGTTGATAGTTTGTGTGTCAGCATGTGGGATGAAAGCTGGAGGTGTATTTCTTTATCTTTAGTTCTTAACTTTTTCTTCAGTTCTTAACTTAAATGTACTCCATGTCCTTGTTTTTTCTTTTGTCCTGTGTGTCCTCTTCTCTGGCAGTTACATTCTTAAACCTGATAAACAGTCTGTTATACTGTGGTTATATAACAGTTTATATTTAGTATCTGTTTTTTTTCTATATTAATGCTATCCTCAGTTATACCTTCCTTCCTGTAAACTCGTATTTCTCCAAGTCCTTTTGTGTGTGTTACCTGGAGTTCTTAATGTGAATGGACAGGCTTCGGTGAATTTTGGTGTGTGAATAATTTAGGATTATCGAATGCAGAGGTACATCTGTGCAAAAATGGTGCTGCAGCTGTTGCATTCTGCCTCCTGCAGTGATCTCAGGCTGGGTGTCTAGATTTTCAGTTCCACTTTTAGTGCTGTGCTGCTCCAAGAGTAATTTGAAAGGGTACTGGCTGAAAATGTGAAGATTTTGCGTGACCAAGGTGAGGTGTCCATGGAGAAGGACATGGATATTGAGCACTTTCTGAAACGTAAGCTGTGAAAATTGGGCCACTAAGATGCCCAACATGATGCACCTTAAACTTGCCAGCCATTTCTGAAAACCTTTGCCCAGGGCATTGTGTGCAGGGTGGAGAGGGAGAGGAGGAGGCCCCCAAGTGCCAGTGCAAAACCCTCCCAAGCAGAATGAGAAGGAATAAAGTAGCAGATCCAACAAGCGCTTGGAAATTGAAAGGTCAAAGCTGAATGTCTTTGCATGGCCTAACCAGAGTGGTTTTACATTATCTTTTAGCAGTGTGCATACAGCTATTTTTATACAACATGCTGTATTTTGTGACTAATATTAAAGTTGTTATTTAACAGATTTTATACATTGTGCCAGTGGACAGATTATGAAATGTATTTTGCTTTGTTTTTATTAAAATGCTTTAAGTTATGGATTTAACACATTTGGCAGTTCTGTGTGATTTTTTTCCCCTTGATTTTTGGTGACGTAGAAAAATAGAGAATTACCTACTTCCTTACTTCTCTGTGTGACGTTGGATTTAAGACAATTTAAATCTCTGAAGACTAAGCATACCTCCCTCTTCTATGGCTGTATTGCTTTATCAGTCTCTGGAGGCTCCTGTGATCTCAGCTTTCTTGAGGTAAAATGAGGATATGACTGCACAGAGAGGGCTGGAAGGGATCCTGTGATCCTTTTGACCTTCATAAGAGATCAGATAACTGAGGGCCAGTGAGTTCAGGAGCTTATCTGCACTGTTACATTTCATGTTCTTCCCTTTGATTTGTGCATGAAGCAAAAATCCTGAAGTTTGGCCAGGAGTGCTGGTGCGATGCGAAATACTCCTCTTGGATGGAGCCTGAAGCCCTTCAGTCTCCAGAAGTCTAAGCAGCAGCCTTAGCATGGGAGTGTGAAAAGGGGACGTTAATGGTGCTGCGTGCCCAGAGACGACGGGGTCTGGTAGATTTGTTCAAGCATTGGTAAATGGTCCTTTGCAGACTCCTGCTGCTTTTCACTGGTGGTAGAGAGAGAGAGAGTTAGTGGAGCAAAGACCAAAGCTGCTGTTCCTGTGTTCTTGGGTGAACTGTTGGTCTGGATAGTCAGTCCTTGCCTCTCTCTCTCCAAAACCTATAATGGAAAGTGAATCCAATGCATGTGTCTTCTGCACAGCAAGGAAGAAGCTGGCTTGCTGGACAGATTTGCTTTCCCTTTACAAAAGAGAGCTTGGGAGGAGACAGTAAAATGTCCGAAGAAAACCTTAGTTCTGGGGATATTCACGCCATTACCTTTGGCTAGTGGAATTGTCGTCTAGGTGAGCAAGTACTCTGGGCTTGAAGTCTTCTCCTGTGTGAGGAGAACGCTTCAGCTGTTGGATGTGTGCAGTGCAAAGGATTCACTGGTGTGTGAAACGTTGGAAGTGCCCAGCAGGAGTTGCACTAAATAGTTAAACTTTGCCTGATGGTTATGACAAGCCCTTCAGCTGATGGCTCAGGGCCCCGTCTGGCTCTTGTGGCGCTCTCCGCTGCCTTGCGGATGCTGCCAGCAGCCGCCTCCACATGTGACCTGTATTAGAGCATCCCTGCTTCCGACTGGTACATACTGGTACTTGTTCAGGACTTGAAGCTATGATGTTGGGCTTTTCACTGAAGAGCTAAAATCTGGACATGCTTTTCCTTCTTCTGCAAGGCAGTAACCTCTGGCAGAGAGGAAGACAAGCCGCAGTAGATGCCAGAGCTGTGTAATGCTAGGATCTGAGAAAACCTCCCCTAACAGGGAAGAGGTGTTGATTTAAGCCAATTGTTCTGCTCTCAGGTGTAGTCTAGTTTTGACTGCCTCTTGCAGAGTAATTTTTAAGGTTTTTTTGGAGGACTATGGCTAAGAGCTTATAATGGAGTTTGGGTGGGAAAGGTGGTTTTGCCGGAGAGGTGGGATGCAGCACTCCCCATGCCCTGTGAGGCTTGTGCCTGGCATAATCAGATCAGTCCGTCTGTGACAAACATGGTGGGTTTTAGTTTCTTTTCCAATGAAGTCTGAAGAGAGCTGGGATCCCAAACCAGGTGGCCATTTATTTGTACTTGCCTTCCTTTCAAAGGAAATCCTCCTGCCATATTCAGATCAAGTGCTTTTGTTTGAACTGTGCTTTAAAATCATCTGCTTCTCCTTCCCTCTTCCTTTCGGGCAAGAGACGTAGCAGAGAGCACAGGAGACCTTGTAGCGGTGGTACAAGAGTGACGTTTCAGTGATACACGTCTTAGATCTTTCTTTGCCTCAAAATGAGAAGTCAGATTCAGCTGATGGTCCAACAGTCTCTCATCACAGGTGTCTCTTTCCCTCTGATCTTTATCTTTCAGTGAGAGTTCAGCTTTCTTTAGGTGTTTTATCCCCAGAGGGCCTAATTTGATAGGCCTTCATAATGCTTTTTTCATGTTGGGGGGGGAGGCATTGTTTCTAAGTGGGAAGTCACCAATCCAGAAACTCTGTGATCTGTCCTTTTGAAGTAGTGCTGGATTTGTCACCTGAACATCTCGTGTTGGGGCAGCCTGTAGAAGACTCCGCTTCATCGCTGAATCCCACCATCTCCCCTGGGAGGGCTGAATCTCTGGGCCATGCTTTTTCAGTTACTGGTGATAAAATAGACCAGGCAGCTTATGTGGGCTCCCTGGCTTCTGAAAAATGAAAGGGGCTGCAGAAAATGTCTTTTTGGTGGGGAAATGGGGTGGGTAAGGCAAAAGGTGGCTTTCAAGAATTCAAAAATAAGTTCTGACCAGCAAGGACAGCAGCAAAGCTAAGCTGATCTTTACTGTTGACTAAAGTGGCACCCGGGAAAATTCTCCTTGCCCTCCTCAAGCTTTTCTTGGGAGGTCAGGGAGCAAACCAAGGGAGAGGCATCAGCATGATTGACAGGGGGTAATTGCCAAACAAATAGCAACCAAACAGCACTAGTCTCAAAGTACCCCTATTCTGTCCCCTCGGGAGCTGGTGGCACAGGATGCTCTGTAGGATTTTGCTGACCCTTATGTGCAATATCTCATAAAGTGCATTCAGCCTTGTCGTTACAGTGCGGTTTCTGTATTGTTGGTTGCATAAAAGGAAGCACCTGTTTTTCATTGCGTGGTATTTTCTTCTGCTCTCTTTTCCTTCCCCATGTGCTTATTGAATCCTTTATCAGGGATGGAAAGATGCTGTTATTTTTTTTGAGGGCTGTGGGTTTGCTGGCTTTCAAGGTAGAGAGCAGCTTGGTTAATTTTCAAAACTAATAATTTTCTTTGGGCCACTTCTGTGGCAGCAACAGGCTTCAAATTCGGCTTCCATGGCAACATACTGCCATGGTAACTGAAAGGCCTGATAATCCTGAAGAAATATTTGCTTGTACCCTTCCTTCCCTCCTTCGTTCTCTTTCCCATGCGATGTGTGTGTTTGGTTACCCCTGCCAGATTCGATCGGTGTATTTAAAAAGCTCCAAGCACAGAAATGCACTTCTCTGGGAAGAAAACAAAAAAAGTTGTAAAAGCGATGGTGACATTTCACTGGCATTGTTTGCAAAAAATCTGTTGCAAGTCTGGAGGGAGGTGTCACTGAGCAACAAATTCCCTTCTAATGGGAAAAGAACCCTAAAAGAAATGCTTCATCCTTAGATTATTTTGTGGGAACTGGCTGGCATGGGCTGGCTCAGGGAATCGGACCCTGCACCCCGTCCAACATCTGTAATATTGAGGATGGTGAGAATTGACTCATCCAGTGGTTACGAGACAGAACCAGTGGTTTGCTGGGTCCCTTCCAGCGGATTCATTTGACACTAGGTTTTCTGTCGCTGCCTGTCACAGCTGCTTTCACACCAAGCTTGGTTAGCAAAGTTTGGCAGGGTGACAGGAAGCCCCAGTTCAGCAACTTTGCTCTGATTCAGCCTGGAGTGGGAGGGAAGGGGGAACGGGACTCCTGAAATGTTTTGCTAAGCGAGAAACAGGGCGAGGGCAAAGACTCTGCGTGGCAGAGGGTGCAGAGGAGCTTGGAGTCCGATGCTTTCTGTTTGTGCTTTCTGTTTGACCCAGAGCAAAGCTCATGACCTAACCTGGCACTACGTCAGATCAACATACTATGGCCAGTTATTAGACAACACTGTGTGTGTGGAGGGATCTTGTCTCCCTCACTGTTCCCTTACCCTAAATCAGCACTCTCTGGACTTCAAAGACTTTTTCTGGTTAGCTGTCTTGAGAATCATAATGCCTGCACCCAGCGCCAGGCTGCTCGTGGAGAACACAGAGTTGCCTCATTTATTTCCTGCTCCTTGTTTTTTATTCCCCAATTTCACCTTATTCTTCATCCAGGTGTTCCCCTTCCCCAGCTTTAGATCCGTTTGCATAGGGCTGCCGTGGCCTCTACAGACTGTTGTGAAACGAAACAGAGAACTC